AGTAAACGCTAATCATATATATATGTATATATATATATATATATATGTGTGTGTGTGTGTGTGTGTGTGTGTGTGAACGTGTGTGTGAACGTTTGTGTGTGTGTGCGCGCGTATAGATCATTTGTGTATAGATTATTCATATAAAATAGTCTTTCTTTGAAAATATTTTTATAAACGTTATGTGTATATATATATATATATATATATATACATAACGTATATATATATAACACACATAACATATATATATATATATATATATATATATATATACAGATATAATACATCTTTGTATATATGTATGCGTGTGGTGTGTGCGTGTATGTGTGTATATACAACGATGTAATAATGCACGACAACGCAATGTACCCGAAATAATATGTGTGTGTGTATGTGAATGTGAAGCAACCGAGTGTGTAGCGTGTGCGTGTGTGTGTGTACAACGCTCACTGTGGCGAAAGCCTGCTAGCACGAATTGACCATTTCAATGAAATAGGCAATTATGTAAATAATGACGACTTTAATGATTCAGCCAATCAACCGTTCAATTACTTCTACATTTATTCACTCCTTCATCCTTCCATTTGTTTGTCACACCTCTAATCGACTCGCTTATTAATTCGTTCACTGATTTAACTGCACTAGCATTTATTTGGATTCGTTTTATTATTCAATTATTATTTAAATTGAAAAATTTTGTCATTCATTCAATGATTGATTCATTCGCTTGTCCAGTCAGTCAATCAGTCAGTCATCCATTCATCCATTCATCCATTCATTCATTCATTTATTCGTTCATAAATTCCACAAAACGTTTTTCAATCAATCAATAAAGTTCTCGAGTTTGAACATTATAAAATATAAAAATACAAATATATAAATTTAACAAAATTATATATATATATATTTAAATTCATATATGAAACATATATGTCTATAAGTGTATATATTTATATATACATATATATATTATATATATATATATATGTATATATTAAGGCTTTATCTAAATAATGTATAAATATTGATAAACAACAAAAAATTTTCACCTTCGAGATTTCTGTAATTAGACGAAATTATTTTTCATCAACGGTTTCCCAAAAAGTTTGCTGTTATTATTGTTGTTGCTGTTATTGTTATTGTTGTTATTGTTATTGTTGTTATTGTTGTTGCTGTTATTGTTGTTGTTAATATTTTTTTTGTGTCAATGACATCTCGGTAGCTCAGGAGGAGACCCATTTAAATGATTAAAGACGAAAAAATACCGAATCAAAATGTGGTGTGACTAAAAATGGTATTTCAAAATTTTCATCATCGTCGTCGTCGTCTTCTTGCTTTCGTTGTTACCCTCATCATCATCACCATCTTCTTCATCATCATCACCATCTTTGTCATCATCATCACCATCATCATCATCACCATCACCATCATCGTCATCATCATCACCATCATCATCATCAT